ATCTGCACACCTGGATCCTTCGGGTGAACAAACGGAACCATAGCTAGAGGCTACCCGCGTTGCAATGCATTTTCCATATACCATCTCCACACTCGAGAGTTTTGAACTGGCATTAGTTCCCAATAAAAACCCTCAGTTGCCCGACTTACTATAACATTGATTGTTATGTCACTTGTCTGTGGATCAACTCTCAAGCCCCTCATTAACCATCCTTTTATAGAAGGTACACTCCTCTCAGCCGGTCTATCAATTCCCCTTTCTGATACAATAAAATCTGACAGATCTACCCCAGTTGGCCCGTAACGGACGTTTCCTGGGCCATGGTAAATTTGGAATATTTGTTTGTTCGACATATCTGTCAACGAAATAACTAGATCATATTACTCTTTCATGCAATAAACATCTACAACGTAATATCTTCTTGTATATGCCAATGCAACGGTAAAGTATTGATTCCAAACTAGCAGATCTACGTAGTTACTGATATCTACAATACGCACTTCTAGATTAGTACAACTAAAAACCTAAAAAAATAATGCATTTATTCAAACAAAGTTTTAAAAAAATACACACTATTTAACTCAATAGTCACATATAGGATCTATGAATATTACCTGAAATCGACGTCTGAATCCGGCAGGGTTTCGCCCCTTCTTCTCTTCTCCTCCCCTTTCTTCTTTTTTTTTTCACTGGATTTGAGGGGGGAGGAATGAGGGCTGGGGGCTGGGCGGCAGGCCTTTTATAGGCAGTAAGGCCTGCTGCCCGGCCAGAGGGCGGCAAGGGGCCGCCTGCAAAATGGCCGGCTCCGACTGGCTTTTCTGCATTGGGGCCCCTTGCCGCCCCAACAGAGGGTGGCAAGGGTTTTCCTGAAAAAAACCTCCCTCCGTCACCGCCCGTCCCTCCCCCGTTTTTCATGTCAGCTTGCCGCCCTAGAGGTGGGCGGCAGGGTCTATTTTTGTAATTTTTTTGGCTGATAGATTATTTCTGTAAATATTTAAAAAAAATCTAAAAATGAAAAAAATTCAATCAGGTTGCAAGCCCACGCAGAGAAGTCCTCCCCTGCGACGACAGCGACCACACTGGGATGGGATGCGAAGGAGACGTTGCCACGTTGGACGTGTGCAAAGGAAAGCAGCAGATAGAGAACCGTTGGATGGCAGTGGACGGTGGATATTACGTATTGAAACTGCACGGCCGTGACTTTAGTCAAAAGATCCTCTTCCGACCACCCGTCCACCCCTCACCTCCTTCCCCCATCTCTTCTCTAGTTCTCTTCTCTTTCTAGGGTTTCGTCTCCCCCAATGGCGGCGGCCACCACGTCGCGGCGCGGCCCGGGCGCCATGGACGACGAGAACCTCACCTTCGAGACCTCCCCGGGGGTCGAGGTCATCAGCAGCTTCGACCAGATGGGGATCCGCGACGACCTCCTCCGCGGCATCTACGCCTACGGCTTCGAGAAGCCCTCCGCCATCCAGCAGCGCGCCGTCCTCCCCATCATCAGCGGCCGCGACGTCATCGCCCAGGCCCAGTCCGGGACCGGCAAGACCTCCATGATCTCGCTCTCCGTCTGCCAGATCGTAGACACCGCCGTCCGTGAGTACGCCTCTTACCCACCAATCTGACATTTTACTTCAGTATTTCCACTTTTTCCCCCTACTGTGCGATCTATTTTGCTCTAGATTAACTTGCATTGCAGCATCGTGCTAGTACTGTGCGATCTATTTTACTAGGGTTTAGCATAATGTTATAGGTGATGGCTTCCAAATTTATTAGAGCTGTACTGCTGTACACAAATTCTTTCCATGCCTGTTTTGGTGCTGATTATTGTTCACTGTTGTTGTCTATGTTCCCGTAATCCTAATATTGTTTCTCATTATGTAGGGTGCAGGCTTTAATACTGTCACCAACTAGAGAACTTGCTGCACAAACAGAAAGAGTTATGCTGGCTATCGGTGACTTCATCAATATCCAAGTGCATGCTTGTATTGGTGGCAAAAGTATTGGTGAGGATATTAGAAAGCTTGAGCACGGAGTGCATGTGGTGTCAGGAACACCTGGCAGAGTCTGTGATATGATCAAGAGAAGGACCTTGCGTACAAGAGCCATTAAGCTCCTAATTCTGGTTGGTTTACTTTTCATGTTGTTTTTGAAACCACCTTTGGTTTGATCAAATGGTATGAGAATAACATTCTTCCATGACAGGATGAAGCTGATGAGATGTTGGGCAGAGGCTTTAAGGATCAGATATATGATGTGTACAGATACCTCCCTCCAGAACTCCAGGTCAATCTCATATTAAACCTGTCATAAACTTATAGTTTGTCTTGTGTTTCAGTGTTCTATCAGCTAGTTGATTATTTTAATAAGAATTCAGCTCCTGAAGTGTATTGTAATCTATTTTTCATCTCTGGTGCATTTTTCCTTGCACTGTTCCATCCATGTTTTGATCCTTGTAACATATCATCATACCAACAGACTAGCTATCTTGTCTCTGTTTGGATTCAGTAATGCATGCTTTATTATATGCTGATATGCATATGCAGATTTGCTTATTGTAATGCCACCTCTGGCTTCACATGAGCGCAATGCATGAACTTGATGACAATAAATGATGGCAATCTTGGGCAGTGAGGTCCCGAATCCCAATGCTAATGTGCAAGCATATCTTTTTTGTCTGCACAGGTTTGCTTGATCTCCGCAACTCTGCCTCACGAGATCTTGGAAATGACCAGCAAGTTCATGACTGATCCAGTTCGGATCCTTGTGAAGCGTGATGAATTGACTCTAGAGGTAAATATCATCACTTGTTTTTCTTATCAGTTTGATGATCTTCAATATGTATTTTACTTTGTTGGTTCTATTGATCTTTAAATATATTCGTCTTTCCATATCATGTTTGTAGGGCATCAAACAATTCTTTGTTGCTGTTGAGAAAGAAGAATGGAAGTTTGACACGCTTTGTGATCTTTATGATACACTGACAATCACCCAAGCTGTCATTTTCTGCAACACAAAGAGAAAGGTGATATATAGTTTTCTTTTTTGTTATGGTCGTTTCACTGGTACTCTATTATTGTTTTATAAAGTCTGCTCCCTCTGTTATTTGTCTACACCAAATTATTTTGCTATCCTATGGTCATAGCTTCTTTGTAGCTTTTTCAAACACCTCTTTTTTGTGCCATCTAGGCAGTGGGCATTACTCCTTGTCCTTGTCTTTCTGAACTTGTTGATTATGGTTAGAATACTTGTTCATGCAAGCACATGAGTTGATATTTTCTGTTTGCTATTTCCTTACTATGTTGAATTGCAATGTTTTCTAACTATGCTGACTTGTCATTACTGATGTTTTGCTCGATATCCTGGGGTTTACTTTGGTCAGGTTGATTGGCTTACGGAAAGAATGCGCAGCAATAACTTCACAGTATCAGCTATGCATGGCGACATGCCTCAAAAGGAAAGGGATGCCATTATGGGTGAATTCAGGTCTGGTGCAACCCGTGTTCTAATCACGACAGATGTGTGGGCTCGAGGCCTCGATGTTCAGCAGGCAAGTTTATTGTAATGTTTTGTTTGAAGACTATTGATTTTATCGTGTGTGGAGTACTGATTAAGTGATTATTATTTCATTTATTTTCAGGTCTCTCTTGTCATAAATTATGATCTCCCAAATAATCGTGAACTTTACATCCATCGCATTGGTCGCTCTGGACGTTTTGGTCGCAAGGTAATACTGCACAACTTGCAACTCTTTATTCTAACTAAATCTATCCTCTACTTTGTTTGCGAGTTATTCATAACAAGGGAATTTTGGTTCAAGTTTTGTTGGTACTAACACATGTACCATGGTTTTGCTCAACACAATTGCACATTCGCCAATAATCATGTTGATAATAATGAATCAAATGCTTGCACATTTTGTTTTGGCAGTATATGACAAATCAGAGAACAAGAATTCTGATTTCATACTGTTCACACAGAATGAAATATTGAGGAGCCGCTACACTTTTTTTTTTTTGCTAAAGAATGGCACGTGGTTAAAAAATTGTTGGCCTATGACATGTGATGCATTATGTTAGTGTTTTGTGGCAAGCCAATCGTGTGATAACAAGCCAAACACTAGGCTAAGTTGGTAAACCTCCTTACCAAAGATGTGGTAAAGTGTGGCTACCAACCAAACACCTGTGTACTCCAGTAAACCGAACAGCTGACCACATTTATCTAGATTCTAGAAACAACTAAACAATATTTACTCTGAATTCCAAATGTTCCGTGAGATTGAGGAAAATGATTTCGAGACAGATCCATGTCCTGGCATTAGAAATCATTTGATTGGGCTGATGCTAAAGACCAAAAACATTTTCCTTGCATGATGTAGGGTGTGGCCATCAATTTTGTCAAAAAGGAAGACATCCGTATCCTGAGAGATATCGAGCAGTACTACAGCACGCAGATTGATGAAATGCCAATGAATGTTGCTGATCTAATTTGAGTGCTGGAGTGGCGCTACCATGTTTGATCATCTGGTCTGGCAACAACTGAGCTTGTTTGTTGTGATTTTGGTTGACATGCTTTGCCGTGACTGTATTGCTATGGACTTTAAAGGGTTGCGAGTCTAATACTAGTGATTGGTTTCGTTCCCCTCTCTTGTGACATGATCTGTATATAATTTTAGTGCCAGCTCATGTAACACTATGATTGCATTTCTGCTCAGAACATGAGACTTGTTCGTTATATTTATTGCCACAAGGATTTGATGATGATTTTCTCGTTGAAGGTGTGGTGGTATTTAGATCTTCTGTGTGTTGTGATCTCAAATGTTTTTGTCAAAGTGTTTCATTTGCTCCAGTTCTTGAAAGCTTTGTAATGTCATGCTCGATGTTGCGATTATACTGGTAAATGGGTTTATTGCACATTTGCACCCGTAGGTAGGTAGGTAGGTATTCGTTGAAGTAAGTAAACATTATTATGCGTTTTTACGAGCTTTTGTATGAATCATTAGATAGCCAAAAAATGGGGCTCGATCAAGCTTTATTGATGCATCAAACAGCCTACAAGATCGCACTATGTACATGATGTCACACACTCTTCTTCCATCCATCCACTACGACTTCGTCCTCTTGCACCCTTCAGGCAAAACCCAACCCAGATGATCCATCATTGGTGCAGTGCTGCAAGCCATTGCACGGTGGTGCTCGCCAGTTTGCCTAGCCTAGCTAGATATCTAGTCGAATGCGACGGAGTAGTAGTCGTCGTACGTGCACCGCCTTCGGGTGGACATGAGCCTCGCCAGCTTCTGCCTGCACAGATCGAACCTCGCCGGCCGGTCGCCGGAGTCCTGCGCGGCCGCCGCCGCCGCCGCTCTGCGCGGGATCCCCAGCTGGCGCTCCAGCTCCGCGAACTCCTCGGGCCTCTTCACCACGTGGTCGTAGCAGATGTACCTCCCGCCGGCCGTGTTGTCGCCCATCGCCTCGTACACCCGGACGTGCGCCTCCGCCACCGTCTCCACGCTCGCCGTCGCGAGCAGGCCGTCGGCGAGCATGGCGCGAGCCCCTGTCGACACGCAAGACATGTCAGTGTGTACTGCACAAGCACAAAGGCACACCATGTTCCTTTCTCCGATCGTAGTTTACATGCTCGTATCGAAGCCTGTAGTGTACCTTTGAGGTAGGCGATGGAGGCGGTGGAGTTGCGGCGGCGGAATCCCGGACCGGTGACCAGCGCCGGGCAGACGGTGACCAGCTTCAGGTCCCTACCCCTGGCTGCCCTCCACGCCGTCTTCTCCGCTGCCGTCTTGCCCAGTGCAAACCACAGCTGAAAAGTTTATCCAGAAAGTCATTAGATTGCACAAATTTTCCACAAGAAAAAAAAAAGATTCAGTTGGTGGGTGATAAAATATGCTTATGCATCCACCATTGCAAGTGCGCTTCCGTGTCACTGAACAAACCCTCCTTTTTTTTTTAATACAGTAACAAACTCACCTTGTTGTCACGGCAGAAGCTCTCATCGCTCCAGCAGTTCTCGTCGATGATGGTAGGAAACCGTCGGTCATGAGGGTAATTTTGCCTCCATACACATGCTAGCAACGACGACGTGAAGACGCATTTTCTGACGGACTCTGTCCTCACGCACGCCTCGATCACCTGCTCTGCTGCTTTCGCCTCCAAGCTTGCCATATGTTTCTGTTCGAGAGTTGGACATTAACAGGGAAAAAGTTAATTACACCGCCTCAATCGTACGCCCAATCGCTACTAAACAACAAATTACCATGACTACACAAGAATTGACTACCAGGAATGATGGGTGAGAGCGAACGGTCCACTAGCGAAAATCAGGCCCGTTCACTTTGATGCTATTTTCAACCATACCATTTTTTTAATGTAAAGTTGTTAAAAAATATCTATATTTAGTTTGTTGCCAAATTAAGTAAATACATAAGATATCCTGCCAAAATTTTCGCAATATTGTCATCTTGCCAAAATTTTGGCAATACCAAAATTTGGTAAGGTTTATTTTAGCTACAATAGGCTCTTACTGCAGATAAATGATAAACACTAGTGTGATTGAGATACCAAACGTAGGGGGGACTACCTATACATTTGTTGACAAATTTTCTCCTAAAAATTTGACAGATGTAATTATAATACAATCATAATGTAATTACACTGTAACATATATGTAATTACACTGTAACTTGCATGTAACTACAGTGTAACTTATATGTAAGTTTCACATAATTTTGAATTGTTAGATCTATTACAAGATTTGTTTTGGTGAGGAAGAAAACAAATCATAGTACACACATATGTGAAAGAATTTGTTCCCACGACCTCCATTTTATCGAAATAACATATTACGGAGAGATTTTTGAAAGTTACATACAAGTTACACTATAGTTACAGTGTAATTACATGCAAGTTATAGTGTAATTACACTACGATTGTACTGTAATTACATCTGTTAAATTTTTAGGGGAAAATTTGTCGACAAATATATAGCAAAATCGAACGTAGGGCTACTTTGAAACGCATAAATTTTACAGGATTTTCATTGAACCAGTTCATTTCCTCCAAATTGCAGCAAATTTCTTCCATTAAAAAGAGGTTATATTGTGTGGAACAAGAATGGTAAAAAAAATAAAGGTATTCAAGAACAGTAAAATAAAGCCTATTACTAGCATACTCCCTCTATTGTGCATTTCACAATATAAGATTTTATAATATTGCCTATATTTATATATATGTTAATAAATCTAAAAGAGAGGGAGTATATATTGTTGCAGAGTAGGACGCAACTGGATGGCATCTCTGTTCTTTAATCGCCTTGGTTACACTAAGGTCGTCATGATTCTGACGGCTGCTTGGAAGTACCCAACCGAAGTGGATTCGGTGGTTGTATTGTCCAACTCTTGCTGCAATGCGGACTCTCATCACACTCAGATACTAATCCTACCTGATTACCCGTTCTTATCAGATAATAAACCCGGTCCCCTGCTATGGACAAGCGATTTTCTGTCAATGAATTAGGTGACGGAGTTGACAGGCGTGCGCCCACCAATGCTGTGCTCCGGAAGCTCTACTTCATGGATCAGATAGGTGCAAGACCATCTGCATAGGCAGGACTACCAGTTACAACCTGCTCCCATCAGGAGGACTTCAGGTTTGGCAAAATGTCAACGAAAGGGCGACAAGGAGGACTGTCCAGCCTCAAGATCCTCTCCCACCCTGCCTTTGGCAACAAACAAGACATTGGCTCGTAAACAAAATAATCCTTGAAGGTACGAGTTGGTGATTGAGCCTTTTTCTATAAACCCTTTTTTTATTAAGTCTGCTCGAAATAAGGCTAGTTTTATGGCATCTGCCGCTCTTCACATCAGTCAATAGTACTGGTTTGTCATTTTTGAAATCTTGATACTACTGTACGACCAATGGAATCGACAATCAGCAAGGTCTCAGTTTTTAAGTAACCATGGAAGGTATAACCGTTAACATCTGTGATGGACACCGCAGCGCCCAACGTTTCTAGATAACGGGTACCATAAACTATTTGGTGTCTCTTGGGAGGAGAAGCCAAGAATGAGCAGAATCTTCCCCGTGTGGTACACGAACTACAGAGTCTCGTCACTCGGTCTTACAAAATCTTTCTGAATTTTGAGGCATGAGTGCCTCCACGTGCAGTACCAAAGGCCATGTACATGTAGATGCAAACTCTACAGCTCAACTGTACAAATTTCTCTGGGCCAGATGTCTGAGGCTCTGTGATGTGCATGCCATTAATTACGAAAATGATCTATGTCCATTGGCTTCAAAAATTCCCGAACGCCGTTATGTGTCAATTAATTGCTTGATTTCCAGAAGTTCAGACTGTTACTGGGTCCCCACCACATCACCACAAAGAAAATCGCAATGTTCCTTTTACGAGTTATTTTATGGTGTATCAGGAGGTATCTTTTTTTAATTGTAAAATTTAGTGTCTTCTAGTAAAATTGTAGTACTTCTTGATACCTTCTTAACGACCATAAATAATATTGCTCTTTTTATAGTACACCAAACATTCAACATCAATCTTTGATGTTCAGTTGCGCCTTGAGTTAGAATGTTAGATGGAGCATATATACTCTGTTTTCCGCCATTCTCTTCAAGTTCACTCTGTTTTGTTTGCATGATTTTTTCTATATTTTACTAACCTAACTTATTTAGTGACTTCTATATGACAGCATTAGGGAACACATAACTAACTTACTTAGTGACTTCTGTGACAGCATTAGGGAACACATAACATAGGTAGGTGTAGTAGTTGCGAGGATCTTAAGGTTAGGGACCGAGTTTGGTGCACTCACCGTGTAGCCGGACATGCCCCCCGGATCCACGAACGCCGAGGTGTGAAACACGCCGGCGCATCCGTCGAACGCCCGGTGCAGGCTCTCGGGGTCCGTCACGTTCGCCATCACCGTCCACACGCCGTCCCGGCCGTCCTCGCCGAACATCTCCATCTCCCTCAGCTTGTCCAGGTCCTCTGCGATGTAGCAAATAGCAATAAGCCAAATTATTACACGTCAAGATTACGATGGTTGCATGAATACTCACAAAAAAAAAGAAGCCATGTTGCTTTAATAAAATAATAGCGATGATGCCGTGTGATTTTACTTTCTGTTATCTATCATTGATAATTGTCCGATAAGGATAAGAACGTTTTTGGAACGGTACTTTATCAATAATCTCGTTCCATCCTTCTCACCTGACTCCATTTGAAAACCAGAAATATGAATCATGTTCCACTATTATAAGCATAGCCAAGCAGCAGGTGTGTTTCCAACTATTCGTAGCTGGCTGGGAAACCGGAGAGAGGATTTTATCTTTTTGATATTCTGAAAATTTTCTTGCCCATGGTTTCTTATCCGCGATGACTTAGAGAATGGTAGTGATAGCATAAAGATAAAGGCATGACTTCTACAGGATTTTCACAAGAATTAGTTCAACTCCCGTGATATTCCTCTATTCCAGTGGAGGCCTAATGGACCAGACATGTTGTTCCAGATTAAGATTGGAGCTAAGCTATCATCAGATAAATTTTCCTAATGGCCCTTGGGTGTAGACTGTTGAAACGAAGCTATCAGAAGTCCAGCACCCACTTATAATTAGTATCAACACTATTTGTTTGTCGAAAGGTTCTCTGCTTTCTTGCTAGGGAATTGAAGGGAGCAGTACTGAAAGATTTTGGTTCAGGGGAAGGATTGGATTTGTTAGCTGATGTGAAGGATCAGAACGCGTAAAGTATGGCTCAACTAAGCAACACAAAGCTGACTAATTAGTGGCGCAATGTTAAAATGGGTATCCGAATTGGAGCACTGGTTGGTTGAAATCTAATCATGATGTGGTAGACCTGAAGATTTCTACCTCGGGTCAAAGAAAAATGGTGCTGCCAGTGGAAAAAAAAATTCTGCGTACGTCTCTGCTAGTGTTTGATTTGTAGATTGTTTCATCCCCAACTGGACGAGTCGTATAGGAGACTTTGAAACTACGATCAATTTCCTCTTTCCAAGAAACCGGCTGACCACCAGAACAAGAATAAAAACCGGCGAAAAGTTTAATGTTACGCCATAAGCATGAGCCCATTGGTATATGGAGAAAGTCACAATCAGAATGTTTTGAATGCATCCAAAGATTGTGCATATAGCACGAGGAAAAAACGAATGCGAGAATAACTAACTACTACACGAGGAAATCATACGCCCGGTAGCTTTATATATACGAGTAGTCAAATGTTCAACGCTGATCGATCATAGAGATGGTTGCGTACGTCTTAAACTAATTCAGTCTAGCTACCACCTCCCATCAATCCTACTCCTTGTTAGCATTTGTTTTTTTCTTCCGTTTTTCCTTGTGTGTGGCGAATTAGACATAAACGTATATGTTCCTCTCTTTAGCTTTCGCACGTTTCTTTCGGTCTGTCATTTCCAAGTAGGTAATTAAGTTGGTTATATTCACCAAAGCATAAAAGCAATCATCATTAGGTATACTCTCACGGCTACATGCACACTGTGCATAGGAAAGTGGCTGCCATACCACCCACCAGCCCGAGCAGAGCATTATGCCAATATTTTTTTTTTTAGTTTGGTCTCTATTCGCAAATGGATATACACCGTCAAAGAGCGTTACGCCATTATCCAACGAAAGCAAATTCTACTGACGGGAAGATGCAGCGTAGTAGTTCCTAGCTACTCCAAGCTAGCAACCGGTCTATGGAGATGTGACGAAATGGTGACCGGACTGCAGGTAGCACACCAAACCCGCAGTGCAGCGGTAGGTGGCAAGGTTCCATCCCCAACAACACTTCGGGAGGAGACGCAGAGTATCTGCTAATCCGGCTTGAACAGCAACTAAGCTTGGTTTATGCTGGGAAGTCGCTTGCCTTTTGTCCAAAAACGAGTGGTAATTAAGATGGATTGGAAGACTGATCGGCTCAATAAGCTGGTAGAAGTAAAATCTACTGCTGCGAGATAAAGTCCAGAAATTGGATACAGCGAACTAGCGAAGGGGTACGTCATGCTAGGCACGAGCGTTTTTGTTTTTTCATGTTTGTTTTTTTTGCCGAGGTATATAAAATAATAAAAATACGTGGAATGTATTGGCACAAGTGGCCGGGGCTTTGAGATACATGTGGCGACCGGGGCCCACATGTCGGTGACACAGAAGCGAAACAGCCAAACAAGGCAAAGGAGGTAATCGAACAGGTAAACGGTAAAAGATGTGGGGGTGAGCTGGATTTGGAGCTGACCTTGGGTCTCGAGGGCGAGGCGCACGGTGTAGCCGTGCCGGAGCAGGCGGTCGACGACGGCGAACCCGACGAAGGAGATGCCGCCCGTGACGCAGACGGTGCGCGGCCCCGCCGCGCCCCCGTCGCCGCCCGCGGTGCGCTTGACGTCCGCGTCGCCGGCCGAGGGGCGCCACCCGGCCGCCGCCGCCGCCGCCGCCCCGCCCCCGTGGCCATGCAGCAGCGCCGCCCGCATCTCCTCCACCTCCGCCTGCATGCTCTGCGTGCTCCTCAGGACGCCCATGACGCCGCCACCGCCGCTGCAGCCGCCACCGATCCCTATCAACAAATATGATCTCTCTCTCTCTCTCTTTCTCTCTCCCCCGGAATCCCCAATCCGCGCCCGCGTGTGCGTGATCGAGTGAGAGCGCGCGCGCGCCCTGCCTGCCTCTCCCCTTCGGTGGGGTGGGTGCGCGCGGGGAGACGTGGATATATAGGATAGGTGGGGGGGACGGACGCGCGCGGCTGCGCTAGCTAGCAAACCGGTTGGCGTCGCGCGCGGTCAGCGATGCAGCGAAGTGACGGGTGGAGGCGTGGCCATGTATGTGGTCGCGCGCAGTCACGGTGCTTGGCTCGGGCGACGGATTTGGGGGGTTTTTTGCGTGTATCTACTGGTCAAGCGGGGCCGCGAAGCTGGGGCTCGCGCGAGTCGCGAGGGCGAGGCCGCCGCGCGGTAGTAGGTAAGCTGCGCGGCAGGGATCGCGTGGCCGTCCCGATCCGATGGAAAGACCTCCACACATCAAACGGAGCGATAGATTAACACATAATTAATTAAATTTTAGCAATAGAAAATTTAGAATTTGGATTAATATGATTTTTAAAGCAACTTTTCTACATAAACTTTTTGTAAAACACGCACCGTTTAACAGTTTGAAAATTGTGCGCGTGGAAAATGAAGAAGATGAGTTAGGAACTTAGATAAAAGAACATAACCTAGGGAAGTCAAGTGAAGGGAACTCAACCAAATCACTGATCTCCTCTCCCGACCAATTCCCTTCTTCTGTTGTACTCCCCTCGTGGCCCTGTATACGCGACTGGTAAGCCTGGATCGTTGCGGCGCGCCTCCTCGGTTGTTGGCTCTGGGCATAGCCGCAAGGACGCATTGTAGCGGATAGGAGGCGATCACTGGTACTCACCGATCCAGCAGTAGTTGGAGTACTGACTTTCGAGTCACCGCGATCGGCAAACAGAATGCGCACTCCCGAACAGCGACAGAGAGCTAAGCTCTCGCGGGGCAAGGGGACCGTTCTATCGTTGTCGGAGCAGATCAACGAATCGTGGCAGTGCGGTCTCATCGGCTCTGTGACTGTGCACGCCGGATCGCGCTATGCATGTGGGTCCTAGCTTTTGGGGGGGTAAAAAACGACCTACAACGATGCACCACCGCGGGGCGCTGTGTCGGTGGCACGCACGCATCGGTCGGACGACGGGAGTGGTTTCGCGAACGAGGCCACGGAGCTCTCCACGACCCAACTGCGCCGGTGTACCGTATCGGTGCACGTCTGCACGGTGAAACCCGGGCGGAGGAGTGGAAGTCTGAAGCCTGCACGTACTGAAAGCGATATCATACGCAGTGGAAAGATGGGATATGTCGGTCAGTCCAGCCATTTAATCGCGTAGTACAAACCTTAATCCGGAGAACTTTTATAATGTGCACGATCCCAAACTGACAGTACAACTGGTGTGGTTACCCTTTCCAGTAGTACCATTTAAAATTTCCGCTAATTTCAACTGCTTTCTCAATTCAATTTTCTTTATAGAAAAAAGGGTTACCAAAAGTTCATTGGTCATATTAACATCAAAATTTGGTATGATTCAGTTAAGAAAAAAAAAACCGTTTGATAGATAAAAGTTTATTAGATAAGGTTGAGTTCAAGGAGGAATTGTGAGACCACGGCAAAAAACAGTTTTGTAATTTCTTAGTATATACTTCTTCCGTTTCACAATGTAAATCATTCTAGCATTTCCCACATTCATATCGATGTTAATGAATCTAGACATATATAGAATGACTTACATTGTGAAACGGAGGGTGTATCTCTTAAATTTGTAGGATTAGTTATTTTTCTTTTTTTTAAGGAAACTAGTATGGTGGCCCGCGCAGATTGCGCGGCTAGCATCATTATATTTTCTCTCATATGATAGCATTTATGTTTTCTCATTATATTATTCAAATATATTAAAATGACAACATAATTTTAAATTTTGCAATAACTTTACAAAACTATTAATGTGTAATATTCATATTATATTTTATATACGTGTTAGTTATTAATTATTTTTAATATCAAATTTTAGTTATTTGTAAATTATATATATTTCTATATAGACTCTAGACTCGTCTTTTAATATTTCTTTTTTTTAATTCCGAATTTTCTATAAATTGTATTTCTATATAGACTCTATGCTCTTCTTCTAATATTATTTATTTTTATTTCTGAATTTTCATATTATATTTTATATACGTGTTAGTTATTAATTATTTTTAATATCAAATGTTTAGTTATTTGTAAATTATATATATTCCTATATGAACTCTAGACTCATCTTTTAATATTTTTTTAATTTCGAATGTTCTGTAAATTGTATTTCTATATAAACTCTATGCTCTTCTTCTAATATTATTTATTTTTATTTCTGAAATTTTATTATTTCTAATTGTATTTCTATGTGGACTCTAAACTCATCTTTCAATATTCTTTAATTTTTAATTTCGAATTTCAGCTACTTCTAAATTGTATTCCTATATTGACCTTAAACTCTTCTTCCCATGTTTTTTTTTATTTCGAATTTTAGTTATTTGTAAATTATATTTTTATACAGACTCTAAACTCTACTTTTAATTTTATTATGTTTATTCCAAATTTTAGTTAGTTTTAAATTCCTATATGGACTCTGTCGGTGACATGGGACCGGGAGTATCATGACTAGAGGCTTGGGCAGCCGCGGTCACCCACGTGGCCTGACCCCCTCGGGGGGGTCGGGCCCGGGGGAGACGTGGCCACCCCCTCCTCTGTCTCCCCGAGGGGTCGGGCCGCTCCTGTTTCGGCCCCGAGGGCTGGGGCGCCCCGACCCCCTGTGGTATTGGCGCCACGTGTGTGGGTTAGGTGGGCACAGCGGCTCTCACCAAACCACATTTATTGCGGAATGGACAAGCGCGCCACGCCGCATTTAATGCAGCACGGCGCACGCATATCCGGTCCGTGACCGGTCGCAGTGTGTGACCGGTCACAGACCGGTCAGATCGCGGGTTAGGTGGCAGCAGGCGGCCTGTCACACGCCTCGCCCCGTCCCGTCGGAATGATGAGAGCCTCTTGGCACTCGTCCCTAGCTGGAGCCGGCGTGGTAACTCCTGGAGTTAGCACGTCAGTCCCGGCTCGATTCATGCCAGGCTTCATCGCAACCATTGCAAGGAAGTCACTGTATGAAGAAGGGCAGATGTGCGGCATGCTAAACTGACGCGTGGTGGAGAAGAATGACCGGTCTGTGACTGGACTGACGCCGGTCACGTCATCGGCAGACAACCGTGCTCCCACGTTGCATCTGTTTCCGGCGGAGTGGAGGTAGGTATGACCCATCCCATCGGAGGGTCATTCAGACAGCGGCCATTGCAGATCTCCGCCCATTAATGAAGAGATGACAGGGTGATCCCCTGTGTCCGACGAGTGACGGCGCTGGGCATCACTCAAGGACAAGCGGTGATTTAGCTTCCAGGCGAAGGCGCGAGTCAAGATTTGGTCAAGATAGGGTGGGTCCCCACCCAAAAGAAGAGTAGGTAGAAGTGGTGCATGTGGTATCCCCTTGAGATATAAAAGGAGGACCTTGCCCACAAAGGAAGGGGGACGACTCTGAGAAGACTGGAGCTTGGAGGGGAGATCGAGAGAAAAAAGAACCAGAAGAGAAGGAAAAAGAGGGGTTCTAGAGCTTGAACTCTCTTGCTCTCCGGCTCTCTGTAACTCTTTCTCACACATATCCACCAGAACACAGGAGTAGGGTATTACGCTTCTCAGCGGCCCGAACCTGTCTACATCGCCCGTGTCTCGTGCGTTTGCTCTCTCGCGTACATTCCACAGATCGAGGGTGAAGAACCTCACTCAGCGCCCCCGGCCGAACCGGCAAAGGGGGGCCTGCGCGGTCTCCCGGTGAGGAGCCCCACGCTCCGTCAGACTCTATACTCTACTTCTAATATTCCTTATTTTTTTAATTTCGAATTTCTATTTTTTTTCTTAATTGTATTTCTATATGGACTCTATACTCTACTTCTATTTTCAATTCCAAATTTTAGTTATTTCCTAATTGTATTTCTATATGGACTCTATACTCTACTTCTAATATTCCTTATTTTTAATTCCGAATTTCAATTATTTTCTAATTATATTTCTATATGGACTCTATACTCTACTTCTAATATTTCTTATTTTTAATTCTGAATTTCAGTTATTTCCTAATTGTATTTCTATATGGACTCTAGTCTCCTCTTCTAATATTCCTTATTTTTTAATTCCGAATTTTAGCTATTTCTAAATTGTATTTCTATATAGACTCTGTTTTTTCTTTTTCAGTTATTTCCTAATTGTATTTCTATATAGACTCTAGTCTCCTCTTCTAATATTCCTTATTTTTAATTCCGAATTTCAGTTATTTCCTAAATGTATTTCTATATGGACTCTAGTCTCCTATTCTAATATTCTTTATTTTTTAGTTCCGAATTTTAGCTATTTCTAAATTGTATTTCTATATGGACTCTGTTTTTTCTTTTTCTCCGATTAATGTGAGAATTTCTAGGCCATGAGAGCGAACGTGGAGGCTCCTTTTTCTATGGACTCTATTCTCCTCTTCTAATATTCCTTTTTTTTTAATTCCGAATTTCAGTTATTTCCTAATTGTATTTCTATATGGACTCTAGTCTCCTCTTCTAATATTCCTTATTTTTAATTCCGAATTTCAGTTATTTCCTAATTGTATTTCTATATGGACTCTAGTCTCCTCTTCTAATATTCCTTATTTTTTGATTCCGAATTTTAGCTATTTCTAAATTGTATTTCTATAAGGACTCTGTTTTTTCTTTTTTAGTTATTTCCTAATTGTATTTCTATATGGACTCTAGTCTCCTCTTCTAATATTCCTTATTTTTAATTCCGAATTTCAGTTATTTCCTAAATGTATTTCTATATGGACTCTAGTCTCCTCTTCTAATATTCTTTATTTTTTAATTCCAAATTTTAGCTATTTCTAAATTGTATTTCTATATGGACTCTGTTTTTTCTTTTTCTCCGATTAATGTGAGAATTTCTAGGCCATGAGAGCGAACGTGGAGGCTCCTTTTTCTATTCCTTTAATAATATAATAGATTATCTCATGTCTGATTTGGACTTGTACAAACCTGAGGATATAAATATGAACACCCAGAGTCTTAGTCGTGAGATGAATACAATCATATTTCGGCGCATCGTCACCCTAGCCATAGTTTCGATGGGTTCTTACCCTCGAGCAGGGCTGCATCGGTTAAGTTTGATCTCCAGCGAAGGGATAAGCCCTGTCATCCTGGTAATCGTATCGGTACAATTAGAATTTTCCCGTATTTCGCTTGATATTCTGACTAGTCTTTATAGTCGTCGGTTTATCTTTGATATACCAACTTTTGCTA